GGTTCAGAGAACCAAGTTCGATGTAGCATCTGACTTAAGCCAGAAGATTGAAGTGAAAGATAATCGAAACAATCGGTAGATGTTGTCGCAACGATTGTGGAAAGCATCAAGAAAGCTCAGGAGGAAGCTTTAGAGAATAATAACCGAAAGGAAGGACGTTTAGGCAAAACGTTGGTGTTCGGTACGAATAATCAAGAAGTGAAGGTATTCCAAATTGGGCGAAGTAAGATATCTTCTGATGGAAGGAGCTCACATTACCATGTACTCGATTCATCCTGGCAGCACTAAGATGTATAGGGATCTAAAACCCTACGACTGGTGGCCGACGATGAACCTCGATGTTGCAAAGTATGTGGCCGAGTGTGTAACATGTGCAAGAGTTAAGGCACAACATCAGAAAATATATGGGAGTTTAGAACCTTTACCTGTACCCATGGGTAAATGGGAAGATATCACCATGGATATTGTGACTAAACTGCCCAGGACGAAGAACGGTCACGACATAATTTGGGTGGTCGTAGGACGGTTCACTAAGAGTGCACACTTTATGGCATCCAATGGGAGATAGTCTATGGATAAACTTTCAAATGCTTACATGAAGGAAGTTGTGAGACATCACGGTGTACCTTTAATGCTTGTATCAGATCGTGATAGTCGTTTCACATCAAGGTTTTGGAGGGGTGTACAAGAGGAAACGGGTACGAAGTTGGGTTTAAGTACAGCTTACCATCCGTAGACTGATGGTCAGAGCGAAAGAAAGATTCAAACACTGGAAGATATGCTAAGAGCATGTACTTTGGAATTCCAAGGTAATTGGGATGAGCACTTACCTTTGGTAGAGTTTTCCTACAATAATAGTTTCCACTCGAGCATCAAGATGACACCTTATCAAGCCTTGTATGTAGAAAGGTGTCCTACGCCCTCTAGTTGGTGTGAGGCCGGAGAAAAGCAGTTTATGGGCCCCAAGATAGTCCATCAGACTGTTGAAAAGCTAAAGGTGATTAGGGAAAGGATGTTAGCAGCTCAGGATCGCCAAAAGAGCTATGCTGACAAGAAGATGACATTCGAAGAAGGAGATTCGGTTTTGCTTAAAGTCTCACCATAGAAGGGACTTATAAGATTTGGGAAAAGAGGGAAGTTGAGTCCAAGATTCATTGGACCGTTCAAAGTTCTTCAGAGGATTGGGAACCAAGCTTACAAGCTAGAACTACCAGAAGAAACTAGATGGTATTCATAACACTTTCCATGTGTGTTATTTGAGGAAGTTCACGGGAAAAGTTCCCAACATAATTCCAATTTCTGAGTTAAGGATGGATGAAAATAAGAGGCTAATCGAAGAACCGGAGGCGATTGTTGACCGTAAGACGAAGAAGTTGCGACGCAAGATGGTCAACTTAGTGCTTATGCGATGGAAACATTTGAATGGGCCAAACCTCACCTGGGAAACGGATAGTGACATGATGAGTCGCTATCCGCATTTGTTTGCTGATGCATGATTCCGGGACGGAATCATCCTAAGGAGGAGAGAATTGTAACGCCCGCGTTTCGAGGCTAAGCATTGATTCGATAATGTAATAGTTAAGGTCAACCATTGTAACCTATTTTAAAGTAATAAAGATGAATCACTAGAATATTATGTGAATTATGTGATTATTACTTGTTGGTAAAGATAGAATAAAAATAAGCATCAAAATAAAATGTTAGATAAGCCCCATACCTATGAAGAAACTTGTAGTGGTCGTGACAAGGATTCCAAGGATATAAAAAACGCCAAAATCCGAGTTATAACGAAGAAGTAATGACCTGTCGAGGTTTCGCAACAGAACCGGCACGACACTGTGCGACGTAAAAGTGAGTTTACAATAAAGTTCTTTTTAGCCTTAGCAATCTAAACGAAAGTCATAATGTTCGCTAAACCGAGAGCGTGCATAAAAAGAACGCCCAAATCTGACTTCGTATGAGGAAGTTATGATTTTTTCAAGTTTCGGATTAACAGTACACAACCCGGAGTTCGAATAGTAGATCAAACGGTTTTCAGCTGACACAACCTAAACGAAAATCGAAGGTCTCATTAATAGTAGCTCAACGGTAAAAATACAGACGAAAACGGACGTCAGACGAAGAAGTTATGAATTTTTAGCGGACTTTTCATGTCCCGACCTGTTAAAAATATAACTTTAAAAATAAAGTCAAAATTAGCCGACGGAGTCAAAACGAAAGTTGTAGAGTACGGTCCCACCTACACTTGGATATAAATAACATCGAAAACGGAGCTCGTACTAGAAAGTTACTAACTTTTGAAGTCAGGAGTGCAAATTGCGAGACTACCCGAAGAAGAACGCCCCGCGTAGAGGAGGAACGCCTCACATTCTCGCAACACAAGGTCCGAAGTGAGCCACGATGCACCATCCGATGGTTGACACACAAACAGAATGAACGCGCTGCGTATCCTCGTACGCGCAACGTAGTCAGCAACTTCGGCTATAAATAGGATGCGAGGCCTTGCGTTTTTCTCACAACTTTTAAGCCACAATTTCTCTCTCTACTCTCTCTCTAGCCTCCCAAAACACCCCCGCAGCCTACGGAACCTCCCTAGCACTAGAAGAAAGCCTCGGAGCACTCGAAGTCTCCGAGAAAAAGAGTTTTTCGGTTTGAAACTCTGCCCGCGCAGAACCCGATTTTCTGCAGAAACCCGTTGTTTCGTCAAAGGAGATTATTTTAAGAAGCAAAGCGTTGTCCAAATCACCACCTTATCAAGTGAGTGCATAGTTACTTTCATCTTACACATAGATATGAAGTATTTTATATAAATTACGTGCTATGTGTGCATATTTACATGAAACCTGTGCTAGATGAAAGATTTAAACTTCTTTGTCTTTCAGATCTAAATCGTATATGTATTTTGTTTTCAGATCTGAACATTTTTTTCAGATCTAGACTATAGATGTATTTTGTTTTCAGATCTGAACATTTTCTTCAGATCTAGACTGTAGATGTATTTTGTTTTCAGATCTGAACATTTTCTTCAAATCTAGACTGTAGATGTCTTTTGTTTTCAGATGTATTTTATATCTACATATATGTTGGGTAGGACATGGGTAGATAAATGATGAGGGATGAAAGATGATATAGATGAATATTGGTAGATGTGCCACAACCTGTAGATGTTTTTGAACTACGAGGTGCTCTAAACATCCTAGCAGCTGCGCAAAAGGATAATATCGGCAGCTGCGCCTAATAGAGAACGTCATAATCCTAGCAGCTGCGCCTAAATGATAATATTGGCAGCTGCGCCTAATGGATAACATTGGCAGTTGTGCCATAGGCAAAGATGGACTTCGTGCCTATTCCTTAGGAGAATCCTTAGGAATGAAAAAGTGAATGATTGATGATTTTTAGGGTAGACCCTTAAGAGTAAACAAGATAATGGGGATGGGTAAGTGGGTTGATTATTTGATGTTTAAACATAATAACTATATTTTTGTGGGTTGAAAACCTTATGTACTCACCAGGTTTCCCAACCAGACCCACTCAGTTTATTTGTATCACAAGTGTCGATATAAAGCTACACTACACCGAGAGATTAAAGAGATGTAGATCACTAGTGTAAATGAATGTAAGTTATGTTTATGCTTATGTTTTTGTATTGACGTTGACATCCCAAAGTTTTAAAATGAATAAAATACATTTATTCGGAAATGCTTTGATAACATATTTATCATGTTTTTCTGAGAAAAAAATTCCGCAACAATTTTCTTTAAAAAGTTACTCTGATTTTATTATAAAGCATAAACGAAATCGGTCTTTTCTGGCCGTGAAAATGAGGATGTCACAGCTGCACTTCAATATTTAACATCTATTAGACTAGTTATTACATATGTTGTTCAGCAGGTTTGTCTCTATATGCACGATCCTTGGGAGCCTCATTTCACAGCTCTCAAGAGTATTTTATGTTACCTTCAGGGCACACTGGATGATGGTCTTCAGTTATACGTTTCTCCATCTTGGGGACTTATTTCTTACTCTGATGTGGACTGGATTGGTTGGCTGTCTACGAGGCGCTCCGCTTCTGGCTATTGTGTGTTTCTTGGTCAGAATCTTCATTCATGATCGTCTAAACGACAAGGTACAATTTCCTGATCTTGTGTCGAAGCATAGTATCGGGGTGTTGCGAATGTCGTTGCTAAGACATGTTGGCCTCACAACCTGTTACGCAAGTTACTTTATCACCCTCTTACTACTACCTTGGTCTATTATGATAATGTTAGTGCGGTTTACTTGTCCATGATCCCGGTTCAACACCAACACACTAAACATATAGAAATCGACATTCATTTTGTTCGTAATCAGGTTATTGTGGTTCGTATACGTGTCCTTCACGTCCCCTCTTCATCTCGGTATGCTGACATCTTCACCAAAGGTTTACCGTCTGCTTTGTTTCTTAACTTCAGATATTGTCTGAATGTTCGGTGATCAATCTCCCGTTCATACAATTGGGGGATATTAGACATCATTATATTTATTTATATAGCCTTTGTATTTGTGTTATGTATGGCCCAATGTATAGCAGCTCGTATTGTGTGTGTATCTTTATGTATTCGTAGCCCATTTATTGTGTGTTAATCTTTATATATATCGTTTAATGAAATAAATTGGAATCATGAGAAAATATAGATTGTAACATATTCTTTTAATTTTTATCAAACTAAAAAGGTGAACTACAAACCATGTGTTTTATTACAAAATGTATTAATATTTTATGTTTAAAAATACATAGAAAACGATACATAATAAACAAGCTTTGAAAACTAAAAGTAACATAGTTTGTTTGTTGTTAAACATATACATGCATAAGGTGTATGCACGCATTTTATTTTACTTATGTAATAAATCGTTGCATATATATATATATATATATATATATATATATATATATATATATATATATATATATATATATATATATATATATATATATATATATATATATATAATCAACTTCAAATGCCCAATTGACGTTGCACCTCCAAGATGGTTGTAGCGGAGTTTTTAAGTTGTCGAGACTCCTCTTCAGTAAGATGTAAATTCGTCACACCCAACACTCCATTCCTTCCGAGTTGTGTTGGCAAGCTAAGAAACACCTCACCATCATCAATGCCATACAACCCTTTGGCTAGCACTGAAACAGGGTGGACCTTGTGTTGGTCCCTTAGTATTGTCCGAGCTAGGTTAGCAACAGAGTAACCAATAGCCCATGACGTATAACCCTTCAAACCTATTACTTCGTATGCACCGTGGACAACTTCTTTATGGATTTTCTCGAGTGTTTGCTTCTCGTAGGCAATTTGTTGCCTTTCTAAGAAGCTAAGTATTGGTACCCCACCTACGCTTATGCTTGACCATAGTGCCACTGACGAGTCTCCATGCTCTCCCATGATATATGCCTAAAGGGAATAAATGTATAGAAAGCTTAGCAAAATATAAAAAATATTGCTAGAGTATCAACAATGCATACTTTAATGGTATGTCTAATAGTTGTTTAGTAAAAAGGTAGTATGTTTCACATTAAAATATTAAACTTTATCATTACAAGATGTCTTGTTTGCGTTAAACGGTTCCATGAATATGAAATTGAAGGGTGAGGTCATTCAATTCTTGGATAAGAAAAATGAAACTTTTTAAATATTTATCCATTAAACTTTATAGAGTTAAATATATTATAGGAAAATTTTGGTTGAATTGTAAAATGAGTAGAATGGATACTCTTAAGGTTATAAAAACAAACTATTAATATACAATTTAATTTGCAATGTGATCACATCATCGTTTATTTTTCAACAGATATTGTGAATGAATCAATTAAACTAAAGCATGTAGGAAAAAAAGTCAATTCAATTGTTGAATCATGTTTTACTATAATTTTAATAAAAGATAACTTATTTGCGATGATACAATAGTAATCTAACAAACGCACCTAGTATTTTTATCTGAAAGTTGTTTAATCGTGTTTTGTTTTTCTATAATTTTGATAGAAGATAATTTGTTTGCAACAATAAAACAGTAATCACTCGTGAAACTAACTCACCTGCACATCTTGAGCATTGATATCAAGATGATCCGCAATGAGGAACCGAAACCGAGACGAATCCAAATTTGTGCCCGACCCGATAACCCGATTAGGGGGGAACCCAGATAATTTCCATGCAACATACGTCAAGACATCCACTGGATTAGACACGATCAGCAGAATAGCCTCCGGCGACGCAGCTGACAACGGTGGAATTATTGTGGAAAATAGAGCTAAATTCCTCTGCAGCAAATTTAGCCTCGATTCCCCTGGTATCTGCCGGGCACCGGCTGTGACGATCAGAATATCAGAACCAACCGTGCTGGAATAGTCAACGGAAGCTGAGATGGTGGTTCGTGGAAGGAATGCAGCAGCGTGCTGGAGGTCAAGCATCTCACCGCGGAGTTTGTCTTTATCGACGTCGACAAGTGCTAGCTCGTCAGCTAGGTCTTGCGTGAGGATGGTCTGCGCAACAGCCATACCGACGTTTCCCACACCAATAACAGAGATTTTGGTGGTGCGTCTGGTGGGTGGCGGCGGTGATGCACCATCGATGGGCTTGAAGAAGGATTGAGCTATGTCTAACCCCCCTTGTCCAAGAACTAAAGATGAAGCACTTTTCTGCATTTTTGTTATTCTTCTTTCTGGTATGTATTTGAAATGGATTGTGGTGGATTTGATGAAAAGGCACGAGTGGCTATTTATTTATAGTATAAAAAAAGGCTCAACACTTTTCTTTTAAGTTCATAAATGTCAACATTAAGAAGAGTCAATTAATTTATTATTAAATATTAACTTTTTTTAAAAATTTTGCAATTTATATTCATTTGAATTTTAATGAAGACTCCTTGGAACAGAATCGACATCAACATCAACTCATTGACAAATGACAACGTAACATTAGCATAAGTTTTGTCTTTTAGATGGAAGATAATGGGTTCAAATTCACATATATACGAATTTTACTAACTTTGTATACATACTTTTAACCACTAACGAAACCTTTTAAAAAAAAAAAAAAACTCATTGATAAATACAGATTATCCATTAAAATCTAAACCAATACTTGTCCAAAAAGCAACACATTTATAATAGTATAACAATACAAGTTATTTTCAAGAATGAGCAATACTTGCTCCAAAGAATGAAGTGGTTCAGAAAATAAACGATAGTTTGCTATCTAAGTTTCTAGGAGATGAGGTTCAATACTTAAGTTCAGATACTATATGCCAATCTGAATTTGTCCATGATCAGTTTTATGCAAATTTATATTCACCTGATTTTTAAATGGTCTGAAAGTATCGAGTTTACCAAACCATAAGTTAGTTTTAAAAATCGGTGTTCCCGTTATGTTGCTGAGAAATATTGATCAGAAAAATGGATTGTGTAATGGGACAAGACTCCAGGTGATATCATTGGGCAAACGTGTTATTGAGGCACGTATCATATCTAGAACTAATATTGGAAACCGCACTTTTATTACAAGAATGTCTTTAACTCCATCAGAAAAGAAAACTCCCTTAAAATTCCGAAGAAGACAGTTTCCATTGGCTGTATCTTTTGCAATGACCATTAATAAGAGTCAGGGACAGTCATTATCCAAGGTTGGTTTGTTTTTCAAACATTCCGTCTTTTCACATGGTCAATTGTATGTTGCTTTATCTAGAGTTCAAAGCAGAGACAGATTAAAATTGTAAATTTTAGATAAGGATGGTAGTCTCACAAATAAAACCTCCAATATCGTTTATAAGGAAGTTTTTGGGAATTTATAATACTTGTATTTGCTTTATTCATGTTAATTATAATATCATTATTTCTAAAATTTGATATCTTTTTTATTACAATATCAATTCTATTTCAATTTATCAACCGTGAAATTCCAAGGGTTTAAACCTAGTTATCTAATAGGCCGGTATAGCTAAAACAATACATAATGATCTAAACATGTTTTAAATTTCATCGATAAACCAAATAAAATTTAAAAATATCATTTAGTAAGAGATTTTAAGAAAATAAGCAACCTTACTTTTAATGTAATGAACTTTTGATCAACGACACCATGGTTGAATATTTTTAAGTTTTAGAAAATAGAAACCATGGGTGGGCTCGTGGTATATCTTCGAGAATCGAGATATCTTATCATTTTTACTTTTCAAAATTTCTAGTTATCAGATATAAGCTCTCGGTAATATATATATATATATATATATATATATATATATATATATATATATATATATATATATATATATATATAATAATAATAATAATAATAATAATAATAATAATAATAATAAGTTTTTCAAGTAACGTTGGGTCCAATCAACATTTATTTCAATGAAACTTTGGATTCATTTTCAAACAACTGCCGGTCTATAAGACCATGTTTATTGGTGATCTTAAAGGCAATCGGTCGTCATATTTACATGGTGGAAAAAATAAGTAAATAATATATACAAACTATTTCGTTGTGGCTGTTAGGTGGCAACCCAACAAAAGAAAAAAAAATATCTAACATCGAGTGCTTAGTTGCTTAGTTCTTGTGGTTTGACTTAGGTCTTATATTCTGAACGCCGTAATTTCTTCAAACGATCACAATTTTTAATAGTCTTTTATATACACATGTTTGCATTTGAATCTATTATAATTTTCGCTTAGATTATTCCCGTTAAAAAACAATATGTTTTCATTACGATTTTATAAAAAAAAAACGTTCATATATGCATTCATAAAGAACGCATGGACAGAAATATTGTAAATAAAAATATATTACTTTTTAACAGAAGTAATCTAAATGAAAGTTATAGTAGACTTAAATACGAACGCATTAATATAAAAATCGTTAAAATCTATGATTGTTTGAAGAATTTTTGACGTTCAAAACACAAAAGTCAAACCACAAGAACTAAGCAACGGCCAAAGCTCTAACCAACTAGGCTAAAGGCAAACTTGCTATATATTTCCGAAAACTAATTAATATTATATAAAAGCGTAAATAATTAATAATAAAAAAATATTTAAAAAAAAGTTAATAAAACAAAATATATTTTTAACGTATTGTAAAAAAAATATTTTTTACAAAAAATTTACTTGTTTGTTTTTACGTATTTGTTTTACATAAAATACTTTTTTAATGTATTTAAAAAAAAATACGTTTTCGAATACTATGTTATTACATTGCTATGATCCTAAAACATATTTTTACGTTTTCATATAAAAATACGTTTTTTTCTTTCACATAGAAACAAAGTTTTTTTACGTACAAAATATGTTTTTTTATATATTTAAAAAATACATTTTCGTATAAAAAGTTTTTAAGTAAAAACATTAAGAACGTAACATAACGTAAAAATATGTTTTAAGATTAAATCAAATCGACATATATTTTTTACGTAAAGAAAACGTAAAATGCGTTTTCATATAATATGTTATCACGTTAACGTTTTTAAGTAAAAAAAAAACGTCACCCATACGTAAAAAAACGTCTTTAGTTTGCTTTACGTAAAAATATATTTTTACGTAAATGTATTTTTACGTAAAAAACGCATTTTTACGTAAAAAAAACGCATTTTTACGCTATATTAACGTGTTTAGTTTGCTTTACGTAAAAAATATAAGTCGTTTTGATTTAATCTTAAAACATATTTTTACGTTATGTTATCACGTTCCTAATGTTTTTACGTAAAAACATTTTGTACGAAAGTGTATTTTTTAAATATATTAAAAACATATTTTATACGTAAAAAAACTTTTTTTTCTATGTGAAAGAAAAAAAAACGTATTTTTATATGAAATCGAAAAAATATGTTTTAGGATCATAGCACTGTAATAACATAGTATACGAAAACGTATTTTTTTAAATACATTAAAAAAATATTTTATGTAAAACAAATACGTAAAAAAACAAGTAAATTTTTTGTAAAAAATATTTTTTTACAATACGCTAAAAATATATTTTGTTTTATTAATTTTTTTTTCTAAATATTTTTCATACTTTTTATTATTAATTATTTACGATTTTATATAATATTAATTAATTTTCGGAATAATATAACAAGTTTGACTCTAACCTAGTTGGTTAGAGCTTTGGCTGAGTAAAAAGGGGGGAAGAAGGTCCCAAGTTCGAATCCTCTTCCCCTTATTTTTTATCATTCTTATCATTTTATGATAGAATTACAAAAATGGTCCCTATGGTTTACCTAAAGTTGCGAATCCAATCCCTTTATATTTGAAAAGACGAAAATACCCTTGCTAATTCAGTCTCTAACGGCTGAATACTAACGGCGTTAGTAAAAATGGTCATCTGTGCAAGTTTTGCAAACCACAGGGGCCATTTGCATCAAAAAAAATTAATAGAGACTAACTTTGTTACTTTTGGCAAACCAGAGGGACCATTTTTGTTATTTTGTCTGTATACAAATAAAAAAATGTATTATCTTTGAAAGTCATAGTTAATAACCAATGGCGGAGTCTGTAATAGGGCACCCCCTAAGTATTAGTACTATTTTATTTGAAGCCCATCTTAAATCATAATTGAACCGCTATTTTAAATGACATTAAAACCCATATCGGAATAAGTATTGCAGTCCACCGCCTCTCTATCTAATTTAATTGTCATCAATACAAAGGTATTACTTACTTTCAAAATAGAGATAAGTTACGACCTCGTTTTTTCGTGACGGGCCGAACCTGCGTAATTACGAAGTGTGGTAATTATGTTTATTATAATCATTAAGTAAAGAGAAAATTACAAATTTAGCGAAATACATTAATTACTTTGTGGAAAATAGCCAAAAAACCCAAATTACAAAAGGATTGTTACTTGGCTGCCAAACTAAGACATGTTAAAAAGGAGATTCGAAAATGGAAAACATTAGACTATCATAAAGAAGAGGCGGAGATCAACAAAATTAAACAGTTGGTGAACAATCTGGATGCGCAGAAGCGGAATCTAGGATGTTGACCGATGATGAATTCAACATCATGAGACATGGGTACAAGGAAATCACTGAAAAGGAGAAGATGGTTGTACTTGACATGAAACAAAAATCGAAAGTGAAATGGGCGGTTGATGGAGACGAAAACTCAAGATTTTTTCACGGTTATGTCAATAATAAACAACGCAAGAATCGCATCAATGGCCTTATGATCAATGGTGAGTGGTGTACGGACCCGCGGAAAATTAAAGTTGAATCCCTCCGATTCTTTAAAGATAAATTTACAGAGAAATGGCCTTCTAGCCTAAGTTTCACAGCCTTCTGTTCAAGAAAATACCCGAATCTGATCTGCAAAATATAGAAGCTCCAATATCCCTGGAAGAAATAAAGTCGGCGGTATGGGCTTGCGGGAGCGAAAAGGCCCCGGGGCCTGATGGTTTCACTTTCAAATTTATAAAGAAATACTGGGAGGTACTTCTAGGGGATATTGCAGCGATGGTTAAGTACTTTGAACGATATGGTCATCTAGATAAATCATGCAATTCGTCATTTATATCCCTAATACCAAAAATCAAAGACCCTCTAAAGCTTAGCGACTTCCGACCCATTAGCTTAATCGGATGCTTATAAAAATCATCGCAAAAATTCTAGCCTTGAGAATTAAAAAGGTTATGGGTAATTGCATCGACG